ATTTTCTTGAGCATATTCTTTACCTTTTCATTTTGAAATCCTTATAGACTCGCAGGAGGCTGTGAGCGCGGTGGGTGTGCTGTGAACACTGCCCACAGCCCCCCAGGGCTCGTGCCCGTGACGGGGGCGACCGGCGTGTGCGGTCTGTCATCTATCTTTAATGCCACTTTTAATAAAAATCGTGCAACCAAAGTAAATGAGCACATATTCAGGTTGACACATTGAGGATGTGAGAGGAACCCCGCCCTGGGTGGGAGCCCCGGCCCAGTGGGCGGGGCCAGCCCCTCCCTCTGCACCATGGGCTCCATGCCGTGGGCTCACACGTGGGCTCCATGCCGTGGATTTCCCACCGTGGACTCCATGCCGTGGGCTTTGCACTGTGGGCTCTGCGTTGTGGGCTCTGCAGTCTGGGCAGGCCCACTTCCCCTCCCTGTGCGTTGCGCAGTCACCTTTATTGTACTCCAACCTGCATTTCTTGACGGACAAAACTGAACCTGTTTCTCCTAAATGCTGAACGTGCACCTAAGGGAAGCTGGTTCCTGTGCTTTGAGAGGCAAATCTGCACGGAGCTGCGTTAAAATATTTACAGCCGCCGCCCTGGAAGGTTCTATGCCCACCCACCGACGTCTCCCATGGGGAAGGCAGGCCAGGGTCACTGAGACCCTGGGTCACTTCTGACCTTCGCTGGAGGGGTGTCACTCTGTTTTCCTGTTTCTCAAAAGTGAAGAAAATCACACCAAATCTGTTGGCTGTGATGAACTGCCTCGCCACGCCGCGAACGTGACTTTATTGGGAGACACTGAGTGAGGACCGCGCCACGTGGCTGAGGTCTCTGTGCAATACCTTTCTGTGACTGGCAGGCAGGAGGGCTCTGTGGGAGGCAGCAGTTGCTATAGTGACAAGTTCCATCTTATTCAGCATCAGAGCAAATGGTCACGTAAAATGAAACGTGAGGTCTGCACCCCTGCCCGCCCCGGCCCTTCCTCGCATCTCCCCGGTATTTTACAGAAACACGCAGCAGGCATGCCTCCCTCCAGCCCGGCCGCGCCGGCCTGGGCGGTGCCCGAGGACTGGAGGGACGTCCCAGCACCGTGAGACGGGTGGGCTCTCGGACCCTCTTCCAGCCCTTCAGCCCTACGACCGGGAATTGCTGGGGGTGAGGAGCGCGGAGGGCATGTGCCAAGCCCCACGCTTCCGAACCAGCCAGGGCCGTCCTGGCCCCCGTGAGGCAGACGCAGTCGCAGACCAGGACACACACAAGAGGCTGAGTGACAAAGCGGGCGTCCAGCTCGGGCCGTGTCCTCGTCCCTTAGGTGCCCCACGCAGGCTTTGGAGAGAGAAAGGCCGTGAGCTCTGCCGCACGGAGGCTCCCGTCACTGGAGTGGGACTGGCTCCAGGTGGTGGCTGCAGCCGGGGGCGGGGCGACCCAGGCAGGGCCAGCCCACGGGCAGGACCTCCCATCCCCAGAGACTAAAGGTGGACAAGCCCACGCCTGGGGTGTGTCCTCCAGGCCCGACCGCACTTCCTGTTTCAGAGCACACTTTGTAATCCCAGATCAGGGGCCCCTCCGAACCGCCTGCACCGGGAGCCCCTTTGCCCACGGCGACGGCACCTGCTCCCGGGCGGGGGAGGGCGAGTTGCTGAGGTCAGCTGGCAAACACGGAGCTGCACCGTGTGTCTGAGAAGAGGACCTAGTTACATGGCTGATGAGGCTTCCGTGGGTACAAACCCATTGGATGACAGCACCAGGGTTTTTGAGAGCAGAAAGCAAAAGGAATATTTTTAAGAAATAACTTTCTCCCCTTCACCAGCTCTCAGAATTAATACTGCAGTAAAATATCAGATTCTCTCCTGGGTGGCACCAGGCACAGCCCTGCCATCACAGGAAGGGCTGACCTGGGATGACTGGCGTGCAAAGTCCGCCCTGGGTTCCTGCGTCTCCCACCGGAAACCATTCTCTAAGTTGTCCACAGAAAGTGTCTTGGACACTTGAATGAAACCCCGGTTCTCAACCAGAGAACCCTCTCCTGCTGTCCTGGGTGGTCAGGCACGGTCTCTCCGGCCGTAAGCAAAGGTGAAGGGGCGGGTTTGAGCAGTTCACCGAGCCCTGCTGGCTGACGGCTCAGGGAAGTGTGCGTGGCTGTTCCCTGGGAAGGATCCCCTGACAGAGAGGCAGCGAACCGTGCGAGTCACTTGTCGGCCTCGGTGCAGTGTTTCATGTGGGCCAGTGTTAAAGCGCGGGCGGCAGCCTCACGGGTGGGTTCAGGGAACGTGAGGCAGGTTCTAGTGGAGCAAAGAGACAAAGGAGAGAAAGAACCGCAGACGAACAACTACCTGACGCTTTTATGGACTGGACTCCCTTCCAGACAATAACATGCCCCCATGCCTCCGTGCCCCGCTCCATACTCAGTCATCAGGAGCTCTCAGCATTAAACGTAAGGTCTAGTGTGTATGTAAACTTTTCCTTTTACTGTACATTTCATTTCCTTTGTGAAATGGTCATTTGCACGTTGTGTCCTTTTTGCTTTTAAAGTGTTGTTTATAGATGAAACAGTGCGTTAGACATGGACTGTGCAGAAGAGGGGAAAACAGGGACCATGTGAGGTCTGGGGCGGACTCGTTCATTACAGAGCCAAGGCCCACTGCATGCACTTGCTTCCTAGGCCTCCTCCGCGGGCCAGCAGACAAGGCTCGCAGCAGACGTGTCCCTTGCAGCCTGGAGGCCGGGCGTCCGGGTGGGTGGCT